TCCCTACACCTAATTGTTGATACATTTTTGAGGGTTCAATACTCATCAATAGATATAATTTTAAACATATTTTTAGGATATTAGATCTTTGGGTTCTTTTATAGTCGTGGCTTTTTTTTTATTTATTGAAAAAATTCAAGTCTTGTTTATTTTTAGAGGGTCATTTACTATTTATTCATATATTAAGTTTAATAGTATTGGACATGAGATGTATTAGAAAAAATTAAAGTTCTACATCAATTGGAGATAAAATAATTAAAAAATATATAAGTAAGAACAACCTTCACCTTATAAGCCAATTTTGTATGATTGAATTAGGCACAAACTCAAATGTTAAGATAATATTAGAATTATCTAGATCCACTCTAAATTAAAGGATTACCCACCATTTGATAAACACGCACCAAGTCCAAAAGTATTGGACATAAGGGGGTGTATTGGAGAAAATTCAAGTCTTAGTTATGTTAGAGGATTACCCACTATTTATCCACATACCAAACTTAATAGTGTTGGATGTGAAAGGATGTATTGAAAAAAATTCAAGTCTCACATTGATTAGAAATAATGCAATTAAAGAGTATGTCAATAAGGGAAACCTTCACCTTATAAGTTGATTTTATAGGATTAAGTTAGGTCCAAATCCACTATTTTTAAGATATTGAGAATGTATGCCTTAAATGTTCTCATAATTTTTAGTTTTAGTTTGAATTAGTAAAATTAGATTTTATTTGAATAAGTCAATTAGTTAAGATAAGAATATTATAGTGTTGTTAATGGATCAATTTGTTTATGTTTTGTATTATTATTCTAGTATTAGTTACAACTCCTAAAATTATGAAGCATGAGTTTTCATTTGGTTATTTTTGTGTATTTAAATTTGAACTATTCAATACAATTTAACATGCTTCTACAACACAATACACTCTCTAACACATTGCCTTCTCTATTTTTTATTCTTCCTTATTTTAAATTTAAAATACCTAACAATTGGTATCAGAGCTCTCTTCTTGAGGGACATGTGAAATGGATGTTGAATCAAATTTCTCGCAAGCTACTCCTCCTATCTTTGATGGAGAAAATTATGACCTTTGGACAGTGAAAATGAAGTTGTACCTGTAAACTTTGAATTTGTGGGAAGTCATGAAAAAGGATTATGACATTCTTTCACTACCTAAAAATCCCACCATGACCTAAATAAAAATCACAAAGAAAAAGCCCTAAACCTTAAACCCTAAGATGATTAAAGGTTACTAGGAAAAATTGTTTGGCATTGCTAATAAGGTTATATTGTTGGGCAGTAAAATTCCAAATTCTATAATTGCTAAAAAAAATTCTAGTTACAATGCCTTAAAGATATGAAACATCAATAACCACCTTATAAAATACAAAGGATTTATCCAAGATATCTTTGGCAGAAGTTATACATGCTTTGCAAGCCCAAGAGCAATGAAGACTCATGAGGAAGGAATCAACAATTGTAGGAACCTTACTAGCCAAGCAACAAAATGTGACCAAGTACAACAAAAACAAGGATTTTGATGGAACAAGAGCAAATTGGAAGAAATCTTATTCACTTTGCCAACAATATGGAAAGAAAGGCCATCTACCATTCAGGTGCTAGAGAAGACTTGATGCTAAGTGTAGTGAGTGTAACCAAATGGGATCATGAATCTATTATTTGCAAAAATAGAAATCAACCATATGGTAAAGCAACAAAGGCTATTGATAAAGAGGAAGAGGCAAAGGCTATTGATCAAGAAGAGGAGTATCTGTTTGTTGCTACGTGCTTCTCTAGCATTGAATTTATTCAAAATTAGCTTATTAACAATGGTTGTACAAATCATCGGACAAATAATAAGGATCTATTCAAGAAACAAAGTAATGCAAGCATGTTGAGTTGGAAATGACAAGTACATTGATGTGAATGAAAAAGAAACTATAGCAATCTCAACTTATTTAAGTATAAAATTCATTTTTGATGTGTTGTATGTTCCTGAAATTGATAAGAATTTATTGAGTATTGGACAACTAATTAAGAAATGTTATAAAGTGTTCTTTGAAAACATTGTTTGATTAAAGGCACATATGACAAAGATATTTTTAGAGTAAAAATGAGAGGAAAAAACTTTATTCTAAATGCATTAGAGGAGGAGCAAATTATCTTTTCTACAAAAGAAAATACTGCCACATAAAAAAAAAATAAGAAATTGAAGAAGAACAAGCTGATTTTAAAATAGAAGCCCCAAAGTCTTAAAATAGTGCTATTAAAGCAACATTGGCAACAACAAAAGGAAAAGGTCGGTATAATCAAGAGAAGGTAGAGAAGTGGAACCAAAAGTATGGTATCATCGTAAATCTACTTTAGAGAAAATAGTTACTGTTTAAGAGCACACAAAAAGGCATATGTAATTGATGGAAGATGCTTTGAGAGAAAAAAAAAAATAAAGGAGAAAAGTGTAAAATTTTTTTTTTGAACATGATAAGAAATGTTTAAAATTCTTGACTGAGAACGTAAAAGTTAAAGATATCAAGGCCTAATCACATAAGAAGGAAATAACACAATTTCAGCAAGAAAATTCTTATCTAGAATAGAAGATTAAGTTATTGACATCTTCTCCAAGACAATATAAACCAACAGGTTAAATATTTTAGAAAGAAGATGAAGTTTGCAGTCTCCAAGACAAGAAAGAGTCTTAAAAATGTATATTTTAAATGTTGTCAAAACAATTTTAGTTTTAGTTTGAATTAGTCAAATTATTATTTGAATAAGTGAATTAGTTAAGATAATAATATTACAGTGTTATTAATAGATTAATTTGTTTTTATTATTATTTTAGTATCTCCTAAAATTATGAAGCATGAATTTTCATTATGTTATTTTTGTGCATATAAATTCAAGTTATTCAATAAAATTTAACATATTTCTATAACATAATATTTTCTCTCACACACCTTCATCTCCTATTCTTTCTTATTTCAAATTTAAAATAGCCAACACTTTTTTTTCCACGTCTTTCTCAAAACACTAACAAAAAATAGCCCGAGAATTTTAGCATCGATTCATTTTATGAAACCAAGTTGAAGTGTTGATTTGAAATTTTCAAGCTACGTTAGATTTGTATAAAATCTGTTTTTTCTTTTCTTCTCTGCCATGCGCGTTTACTTTGGCGTTGCTTAAAATATTCAGATTCGGTTTTTTCTCTTATTCTCAGATTTTCATTAGATATATATTTTATTTTTATTTTTCTAGTGGGTGCTTGCATATAGCCGCATTATACAAAGTCATTTCCCAAAACTAATTACTTTTTAGCCAAAACTCTGCCATACTCTTTCTGTTCTAGATCAGAGCAAAATTGATGTGAATCTAATACCAATAAAATAATAATGCTGCCTAATCATCCACTAATGTCCATTTCTTAGTTAAAGTTCCAAAACAGTTAATTAATCCAACCAAGAGCTAACCTCAGCAAAATTGGTTTGGTCACCTCAAATTTGCATTAAGCAAATTGTCATTTTCCTTTAAAGCTTTGAAATAGATGTTTTTTTTTTTTTTTTTTTTGTTAAACATTGAAATTCAGAGAATTTTTTTGTTAATTATGTTTAAACTAGTTTGATTTTTGAGTTCATCTACAGTATAGAAAAAGAAATATACTGCTAATCTTTCTTGTGAATCGAAGTTAGAGCAAAACGTGACATTGGTTGGTGGCATTGTATCTAACAAAAATAAATACATCATATCCTCCAAGTTGGCCACACAATTGACACGACAGTGATAGTAAAAGAATTTTAAGAATCAGAATGTTTATACAAGCATTTTGCTGAAATGCAAATCTGCTTCTCTAATCTCATGGTTGCATCACTTGGAATCATGACGTGATTATTCCTCTCTAGATATTCAGTGTGATGAAGGATGTGTTGTATCACGTTACAGATAGAAGAGAATCTGTCCTTGAAAAGAAGGTTGGACATATTTCAGGGGATAATCTTTTCACTACTCTAAACTATTACATACCTAAAAGCTTTAGGCTCTGATTAATTGATCATTAGTTCACACATGAACCTAAATTCCACCTTAACTAAGTCCAGAATAAATCATCCACTGAAATTAGAACATTCCCGATTTCCCGTCCCAGTTCTTCTTATTTCTAATTAAGTTGATTATTTATTTAGAATAAATGGTTGACTAGTAATCGTTATAGTGTGAAATCTCATCTAGAAAATCGTGTGAACTTAAGAGAATAGAGTAAAAAAATAAGCAAAAGAAATAGAAATTCTTTATTCCTATGCACGATTGGTGTAGTAGAATCTTGTACATTTAATGTACCGTCACATCATTTAATGAAACTTGATAATTCATAAATATCAAATTCGCTGAATGATATTCGTTAGGTGTTAGTATAAGGGTTTGTCTGACAAAGTTGGCTAAATTTGGTGCTGGTATAATTTAAATTTAAATCGTTAAATGTAATGATATGTGAACAAATTGGTCTTAATTACAAATTTTATTACATAAACTGTATAAAAGTGAGAGGATTGAGCTCTAATTTTTTTTAGACTAATTATAGTTTAATTCTCAAAATATCTTTAGAATTTGTGTTTTTGTTTAAAATCTTATTAAAGAGGGTCTTACATGTTAGTTATGAAAATTTTTATTAAAGAGGATTGATTGCTTTGTTCCAAATATGCTTACTTTACTTTGTCATTCTTTTACTAATATTCTGCTTCTGCCAACCGAGTAGCAGCCTAGCAGGAAACTCGTATCTTATATAGTTATATGATTATATAAGTTTAAGCTCCAATTAATCAATTAATTAATAATTAATAAGGTAAAGATGCTGATATTATAGAAAACTTTCATGTACGATTAGACCCTTTATACCTGCAATCAGATGTCAGTAATTCTTCCACGGACATGAAGAGATAGAAAGAGATAGAGAGAGAATTGTGCAAAGTCAATTTTCCTTTAACCAAAGTGTGCAAAATTTAAGTTACATTATGGACAGTAAGGTCCACACAGGAGTCCTAATCAAACCACAAAAAAAAAAAGTTGTAGTTAATTTTCCGAAGAAAGATGGTTGGTTACACAAAACCCCTCGCAATTTCTCTGCTCTCAATTACCCTTTTTCATTGCAGCCTCAATTATTATTCATCCTTGTCTAATCTCCACTACTTCAAACTTTTGGAACACTAATGGCTACCCTTAACTCATTGGAATCTTCACCCTTTTGCATCTCAATGTCGTTGTTTGTTTCAGCTTCTTCCATCACAGTTTCCATCCTTCCATTTTCTGAACAACACTTGACTATCTCAACGGTTGTCTCTGCTTCTATCTCTTTGTTCTCCTTGTGTTTGCCCCACAGAACCGAGTAAAGTCCAATTACTATGAGAATAGCTCCAACGACCCTGTAATCACAATTGGATAAATCAACATCAGTAATTGCATTAACACCGAAAAACTTTAGTTTCTTTCTCTAGTTGTTTACCACTGTTTCAAAGTTTGTGCCTTTTATGATTGCGATGTTTCAACTTTCATGTAAAACACAACTTTTAGTTTGTGGTAAGAAAACGATAGAAAGAAGAGAGTGACTCCGTTTTAAAACTCATAAGCTGTGAGACGAAACCGCATGAAAGCGAAGTTTCTTTCTGGCTAAAAACATGAAATGTTCATTGGGAATGAGAATAGTGATAGGAAGTACTTACCCTCCTAGATATGTTTTTTCTGCAAGGATGAAAGCACCCATGATGGCCACGATAATCATCATTAAAGGGCTGAAAGCAGTGACGAAAACTGGTCCTTTTTTCTGCATGACAATCCCTTGAACATAATAGGTAATACCTGATGATATTATTCCCTGTTCACAAAAATTTACATCCATTTAGACTCTCAAATCATATGTTTAATTAACAAATAAATAGATAGAAAAGTTGATTAAAATCTGATATGACAAAAATAATGAATAAGTATGACACATAATTTTCACTTTATGAACTAGCTTTTAGAGTTGAGATTAGTCGAGAAACTTACAGCATAGGCTGCAGCAAGAAGGTTCATGTCCCAACCAATGTTCCAAACAGATGGTTTGTGCTCCATGACAAAGGTAACTGCAATTGATTGCAGTGTACCTAAGGCACACACAAGTGCTGTGAGGGAAAGTTGAGCAGGGTATTTCCTTAATGTCACAGCCTGCATTAATCATAACAAAGACTTGTTAGTAATCAAATAATGCATCATGAATATGAATTAAAGTGGCTAAAGAATTCTTTCTATCACTTGCCTGAAGGATGAAGAAAGAAGCCCATGAAAGGGTAGCCATTATGAGCAGAATAGAACCCTTAACCCAATCCTTTTCACCCGAGTCAGAGGTGTTTTCAGGTTCATAGTTTCTGGGGTGATGCATGTACTTGGATCCCAAGAAATTGATGACTTGTCCTTTGTACAGTGTCATCAACATAGCCCCAACAACCGTTACTATAGTTCCAATCACCTTTGCTTGGCATCTTACTTTTCTCATGTCTATCTTCTCCATCCTAATCCATCCCAAAGAGAAAGCAAAACCATGTTATCCCAAAGCAATAGAAAGAAAGAAAGAAAAAAATTAAATTATCCAATTGTGTACTTAAATATACCTGAAAATAGCTGCCATCACAAATGTCATCGCAGGAAGCATGTTGCTTATCGCACATGAATATGTAGGGGAAGTGAACTTCAATCCCGCATAGTATAAGTTCTGATCAATTACAGGCCTGTATATAAAAATTTTTTTAGAACATGTTTCTTGGATCCATCCATCATAACGAACACTTCTAAAGAGAAAAATACTAACCCAAGGAGACCCAACACGAATATTTGCATGAACATAAGAAATGTAATCTTGGGCCTCACTTTCCTGTCAATGACAGAGAGAAAAAAAGAAGGTTGATCAGAAAATGATTCAAAACAACGAAGCCAATGATTTTCACTTTTCTTCTCCCATTTTTTTATTTTTTTATGTGAATGAGTGACAGGTACCTCTCGAGAACAAGAGCAAAGGGAGCAATAGCTGCAGTAGCAAAAGCATGTCTATAAACCACAAGCACATAGTGGCTCATCCCACGGTTGAGGGAAACCTTAGTGATTATAGTCATACCAGCGAACCCGAATTGCAGAGAAATCATAGCTATGTAAGGCTTGCACCTCTGAAAAAAACTCCCACAATAACCATCTCCTTCCATTTTTCTCTCTTTGATGTGTACGAGGTAAAGGACGGTACTATGAACTAGGAACAGCGTTGTGTGTAACAGAGGAAGAACACTTGAAGTTGTTTGTGTCTCCTAAGTGAAAAACGTTACCCCTCTATGGTATTTATAAGCCTCGTGGGAGAACCGTACTCAGAACTAACTACCGTTGTAAGTGTGTAACAAAAATTAATTGGAAGCGTGTAAGGATCTCACCTTCAAGCTCACACGTGACCAACTTTTTGCACTAGGTTTAATACGTAAGCCACAGGATATTCTTATTTGTTGTTGTTGATGTGTGTTTGTGCAAGAAACATTATGGACTCTACGTGGCAATAATTTTATTGTTTTATTTATTGGTGAAATTTAGGTAAATGGCAATCATTATTTTAATGTAAAGTTTCATGCACCAAATAATTTTTTAACATTGTTATGTATTTTCTAAGAAAAAGATAACTTGGAGTATTGAAAATTTAGAATGTATTGTTATGTTTAAGAGTTAATCATTTATACATTATTAGTATAACTAATCATATTTTTTAAATTATTTTATTTTATTTTATTTTTATTTAATTAATTAAATAAATAATATGATATTATTAAAAGACGTGATTGATTGTTAATATAAAAAAATTATGTTTAATCACTTTTATTTATGAAAACTATGTAATAAGTATATAATAAAAATGATGTTGGATCAGTAAGTATAATAGTGGATTCCACTTGTTTTTAGCATGGAGTGGCCATTAGGGGGCCAATGAGCTCAGGTCGCTCTCAAACCATTTCTGCCTGAGTTTGTCGACGCGGCGAGTTTCTGCCACACCTTATCCATCGGAACGATAGTAACTAAACATAGAAATCTCTTTTATCTAATTTGTTTCATCTTTAATGTTTCATACTTGTCATGCATGGTTAAAATTATTATTCAGGAATTCTAAAGCAGAACTCAATTATTGGAAAAGTATGTCTACTGCTGTGTAGTGACATTATACAATCATTATTCTTTTCATTTAGCTAACAAAGGTTCGTGAGCAAGAATTATTAGGCTCATATTCTATAAGAACATGATTTCAAATCTCTTAATTTATTAATGTAAAAAACTTTGATCTGAAAATTTATATGTACTTTTATAAATACTTATATATACACGAAATGTATCTTCCTTCGCTGGTGAAAAATATATATATCCTAACATTAAAGGTTCAAAGGAACTGATGTGGTTCCTCATTTTTGCAAATATTTTCGGGGAAGTAATTTAACAAATAAATATGCACGTCATTATGTATATGGGAGGGATTTTTTTTTTTTTAAAAAAAAAAAATAAGTATCATAAGGTTTGATGAGTTTTGAAGATATTCACTTTCTGGAAAGAACCTGCTTTGTTCCTTAAGGAATTAATTTCGCACTCAAAATGTTTGAAATCATTAAAAACCAAAATAAATAAGTAAAATAAAATTGAAGTTTGTTGATGAATCACGATATGCCTTTATTTTAAGGGTGAGAAAAGTGGAGTATTTTGTTGGTTAAAACGTACGTGAAGGTTGTATACGTGCCCACACCACACATTCAGACTGAGAAAGCTTAACAAATAGATTATGCGATTGCCATTGATTATAGGCATTCAAGAATCTTCCTCCTTTCGGTCTTTCTGTCAGTCCTTTATGCATATGAGCATATCAGAATAAGTGCTATATAAATTTATTAGGACTTTCGTATAACCAATTACGCAGTACACATGATGTCAATTTGCATATATTCTTTTAATTTAATTTAGAAATTTTAAAACTTACTATTAATGTTTATAAATGCAGTATGGTTCAATCCCACCACTCCCCCCTCTCTAAAATTTCAACCTCATTTAACAATAATTCGCTTCATACATATAATATTTAGTAGGCTTAATTACATATTTTTTTCACCAATATATGTTCTATAATTTAATGATTTTTCACCCAAATTTTGAAATTACACATTTTGACAATTTATTTGTAAAATTTTACACATTTTCTCACCTCTTCATTTGATTTTTTGTTGTTGATATTATTAGTTGATCATTAACAAATACATGCTAACGTGCACTATTAGAATTTCTCTTATTACATATGACTTTTTCTGCGAATTTTTCATAAAAATTCACAGAAAACGTTGTTCTTGCAAATTTTCCTGCGAAATTTTATTTGCAGGTAATACCTTCGTGGATAATATTTTTTTGCGAGTTTTAAAATTCGCAAGAAATTTTCTTGCGAAAAAAATTCGCAGGAAACTTTCCTGCAAAAAAAAATTCGCAGGAAAGTTTCTTGCGAATTTTTTCGCAAGAAATTTTGTAGGAATATTTTTTACGAAAAAAATTAAAAAAAATTACTATAAATTCTGTCAATAACTTTTCAACTTTCAAATGCTCACAATGAATTCATCTGAAACATTTGTTTCCATGCCTCCAACATGTGATACATAATCTTTTAAATTCTAAGATTGTAGATTATAAGCGTAACACTCAACCATATAAATAAACTTGTAAGGTAAGTGTTGCCCCAACTTATATACTCTTTAATTGCTTCATTTTCAATTGATGTGGGACTTGAAGTTTTTTTAAAATATTAAACTTATAAATTTAAATTTTTTTTTATTTTTCCTGCTGATTAAAATTTGCAGGAAAATTTGCAGGAAAAGTTACCTGCAATTTTTTTCTATCATTTAGTAAACATTACTTGCGAATTTATTTTTGTAAGAAAATCTGCAAGAAACAAAATAAAATTCTAACAATATTTTTTGCAAATTTTTACCATGGAAAAAAATTTCTATGATTATTAAAATTGTAGCAAAATTTGTAAGAAATATCTGTAAATTATTTTTCGCAAATAAATTCGCAAAAAATTTCTGCGAATATTTTTTTGCAGGAAAATTCGCAAAAAATTTCTGCGAATATTTTTTTGCAGGAAAATTTGCAAGAAAATGATACTTTTTTAGTAGTGGTGTCATATTAATTATTAACATAAATTGAAGATGTGATATACAGATGATGATGTAACATAATGTGTCATGTTAAAGATCAATTTGCTGCATTAGACAATCAATTGTTAATGAATTGAGGAAATATTATGCAAAATTTTAAAAGTCAAGGGATAAAATTGTGGAAATATTGCTTAGTTTATAATCACATTCTTTGACAAACTTCACTTTTTTTAGTTAAGTGTACAACAAACAAGTAAAAAGATGTAAAAGAGGGAATTAGTGCAATTCAAGGCCAAAAGATGAAAAAAAAATGAGTTGAAAAGTCATGCATGATCGTGTTTGCCTAAAGCGTGACTGTATTAAGTTGAAGAATGCCCCAATCTTGAAGATGCATGCCCCTGTTGAGATGCATGATTGTGTTTGTTGAGATGCATAACCGTATTTCACTTGAAAACACACCCATTTGTTGAGATGCATAACCGTATTTCACTTGAAAACACACCCATTTGACCAAACTACTTTTCTTTTAATTAGATTAATGTTTATTCAATTTTTCTATGTGAATGCTTTTTCTTGTAGAAATTCTGTAAGATCTATACCTACATGAGGGCACATCTGTAATTTCATCACTTTTGTCCTCTTTTTTCTAAGTCCTCGTCCTAATGATCCTTACCATTCCCTTTGTAATACGCTTGGTAACCTTCAAATATACTTGTTCAAGGAAGAGAAAATGAGAATACTTACAAAAGACACTTTAACGCTCAAGTTAGCATTTGAGTCCAAACAAACCAATGATAATTAATCTTGTAATAATGCAAAAAGTACCTTTTTCTCTCTCTAAACATCATTATTTATACTAACTTTACTAAGTCTAGGCTCATAGGATAGATTCATTAATGATTATAACATCTTTAATAATCTTTTATATTTTATTAATCACCAAAACATACCATGTGTCCTCAACTTTTTCCTTCTGTCATGCCTCTACGATATAGGCCCATAGGGTAGACCCATTAATGATTATTACATCTTTCGTAATCATTTAGATTTTATTAATCACTGAAACATATCGAGGAGTCATCAATCTTTTCCTACTACCATGCCTCTTTGATATATATGATCAATTTAGGGTTTTACAAGGGAAATACTATTAATTTTGATGAACAAAAGTAATTGACTAACAACTTGAGATGTAAAATTAGTAGTAAGGGATCCAGTTCGAGCTTGCGCTTCCTATGATGTGGGTTTGACACCCCCTACAAAAATCTTACTTGGTGGGAATACCTTCTCAATGAGATCCTTTGGTAGAAAAGGCAAAAACTAAGTCCTTTAGAGCTTCTGTTGACCCTCAGTTTGACAAGTAAGATCTTAGGTCAAACTAAACACTTATTGTAGCTCAACTACCTACAAAAAGTGGATAATAATACTTAGTCTGGGAATCCCCAACATATCACATTGGCTCCCTAATTAGTAGTCATGGAGTGTCATACCCTTTTTACCATTTTAATGATGAAAAAAAATTTGGCAGCAAATATTAGATATCATTCAATTTACATTAAGGGTAATCGGAGTCCATGAAACCACATGCAATTTTAGAGTTTTTAGTCTTGAATCTCAATCACTCTATTTTTTGCTTTAATTTTTAAATTGCTATTTTTTTTTTGTCACATTTCACAAATCAAAATATATTCCCTTAAACTATTAAAAATCATAATTAAATTGGCAAGTATATAAACTTAGACCTTTAGGTACGATATCTAGACTTTGCCCATATCATTACTACTACAATAAAGTACGTTTGTCTTTAAACACATTTTATACCAATACTTTCTCATTTAGTGAACTAGTATTTTGGGTTTAACTCTCCTTTATTCTTTAGTGTTTAACAATATGTTTGATTAAATTTCTAATTTAGGTTTCAATATCAATCGATGGCAACCGTGAGGAATTGCATTAAATAATTAGTTTCTAAATTTGATTTTGATAAAGTGTGTTTCAAAACATGTTTAATTTTAATTCACTAGTACTACTTTAAATAAAATAAAGGTATATCTCAAGTTATTACAATTATTTATAACTATACTTTTTTGTCTAATTAGGTATACCCTCATTTAAGAATAGTTAAATATCATAAATTATCAAAGGAAATGGAATATATA